ACTAGCATAGACAACCCAAGAGACATGAGGGTTAGAGGTCACATATTTACTTAAGTAAGCTGGAAGCATTCACAGGTGGAACTTTGTCATTGTCATGGTAATGAACACACCTGTTCTTTTGAGGACAGAAGCTGTAAAAACAATCCCAGCTACGAAAATGCGTGGAAGATACTTGGTTACATGGTACTTTTTAACTTCTTGCCGAGGTAGGAGAACGCAAGATCCCATTTTCTACTCACCTATTTTTGCAAGAGAGGCAAGGAGGATCCAAAGAGTAACTTCATAGGGAATTTGCACATAGTCATAGTCCACTGTGAAAACATGTAGCCTTGTATCTTGTGAAGAGCCAACAGCACCCCCGCGATCAGGTTCATAGTGAGGCAAGAAACTCTTGCTCAGGTTGGGCTCGTCCACATAAGCAGCAGCAGAACAGCATACCAGGCTCGACAGCGACAGCAACCAGTTCAAAAGCGTTGCATGTGCAAGCGCGGCAGAGCCCATGTCTGGGGCTGTGACTCTTTTATTACAGATATAGCATATAGTGGGTGCATGAAGGTATGCAACACTCACTCCTGTCGATTCGCGCTGCTCATAGCCACGGCCGCTTCTTCCTCAGGGCTGCTTCGTTTGCCTATCAGAGGTCATTTTAAAAGCCCTAGTGTGCCTGTCCTGTTCCTTGTGTTACAGGCAGACCTGGAGGTTGTATGAAGATACCGGTTCTGCAGGTTCCTTTGACCCAGATAAACCCTGGCCACAGCATCACCCTGTTAAGGAACAAAAAGCCCTTTCCAACTACATTATTTATCCAGCCACTCTGATTTTTTTTCCCACTGTCAAACAAACAAACAAACAAAAGCCACAACGCACACCATTCAGGCAGCAAGTGCAGCACAAGTAAATAGCATCAGGTGGGAGAGACGGTGGCACCCTGAGCAGGAAGGAGAGCCTGCTCCATACCTTCCTCTCCTGCCCTCGCTGCCCATCTGCCTCCCCAGCGCAACTGGCACCTCAGGTACCACACTTGGCACTGCTCACTGGTCCTGTCTCACCTGCTAACAAAACTACTTGGTGTGTAAATAAAAGGACTCCGCAGGGCTTACAGCAGGGACATCTGGTGGAAGACCACGCAAATTACGTTCTCGTTTAGAAATGTGTTCTCTCTCTTAAATGCATGTATGTAACTTAGCACATTATAAAAAGAGAAAGAGGAATGTCTGAGTCACATGACGTGCCTAAAACTGGATGTTGAGATGTCTTGTATTTAACATTTGTTTTACTCATGCCAGTGAGGCATTTGTTGGACAACCAAATTGTCCCCCTCCAACAAGACATTCACCATTATGGAACCTTTTTTAAAAGGTCAGCCTCTTCTCTCCTCCACAAAACCTGTGTTAGGACAACAAAGTGTGCAAACATAGTAATGTTGATTAGAATCATAGAATCATAGAATCATAGAATCATAGACTCATAGAATCATGAAGGTTGGAAAAGACCTCTAAGATCATCGAGTCCAAC